AGGAAAGAAGGAGACACTCTAAGCAGAACAAGAGGAGAGAACTGCCTTCTACTGAGCTCGTTCACAGGGCCATCTTAAGCATATGCGGTGCCGGGGTGCAAAGATCCACCCGGCGCCTCTAGGTTGCCCAGCGTTGCTGACCTTTTCTTAGGGGGACCCCAAAGTTGTTGGCTTTTTTAAAGGAAATAGTTGTTTACCTTTAGAATGTTTAGAACAGTTGTGGGACACAGGGACTCACAGCGCCAACCAAAAGGGGTGCCAGCCGCCCATGAACAGGGGCATACAAAGGGGGGTGCGGACAAAATGTCAGGCAACACGCACAGTTGCCGTGCTGTCCACCCGCTGCTCCCCTCCCCGTATGGTGGTTAACTGTTTCAGCTGCGTGTGCAGCACCCGGAGCGCCGTGAAACGTTGTGGGCCCTGTGTGCCGCATCCTGTTGTGTGTGCCAAGCTGCGGGTTCTTTTGCTGGCTTTTCCACTGTCAGCACATGCTCCCAGTGCCGTCCAATGTGGGGTCCCAGTGCAGAATGAGGGGGAATGCAAGTGGCATCGGAGGCAACATCTCCGGACCGGATCCATGTGCTCCCATTCATCGGGTTTTGTTGCTGCCTTCAGAGCTGTTGGCGCACTGCGGATCCCACCACAATGTTACATAGCGCTCTGGCTGCAGCGCCAAAACAGTTAGCTGCCATGCAGCTGGGGCAAGAGCCAACAGCCGAGCGGAGCGGAGCCTGTTGGAGCACTGCGGGCTCTTCTGCTGCTGCGGCTCGGTGCAAGTTCAGGGGTGAGCGTTGGAGTCCGGGGAAGAGCCACTTGCAGCAGAAGAGCCAGCGGAGCTCCGATGGGCTCTGCTCCGCTCGACTGTTGGTGACTCTTCCCCGGACTCCAACGCTCGGCCCCGGACTCTCAGTCTGGTGTCCCTGAGAGCCCGGCGCCCTGGTGCCGTGCACCCCCAGTGCCAAAGGTTAAGATGGCCCTGCTCCTGTATAGGATATAGCCAGTGCCAGATTTATGTATAGGCTAAGTAGGCTGAATCCACAGGCCTCTAAATCTAGGGGGCCTCGCCAGCCTGCCCGCTCCCCAGCAGCAGGCAACCTCCGATGGCCTGCCCAGGCCCTGAAGGATGAACTATTTTAGTAGCAGAATCTTGCTGCCAATTGGTCTTGAAAAAGTCAAAAAGACTGCCTGGCATCAGGATTTTTTCATTGGGTTACCCCAAATTCACCATCAGATCACATAGCATGTCCATGGCTATAGCCTGCACCAAAAAATCATGCATCCATTGTTTTGTGGGTCTGCAATGGCACAAAAACATGGTTACAAAGTACGGATCCACATGGATTCTCAGGATTTTTGCATTGGGCTAGCCCAAACTCATCGTCAAATCACATATCATGTCTGTGGCCACAGCTTGAACCACAAAAATCATACATCCACTGTTTTGTTCAGAATATTTTTGTTCTTGTTCTTCTCCTCTAAAAACTAGGTGTGTCTTATGGTCGGGTGTATCTTATGGGGTGAGAAATACGGTAACTTATCACATAAACAAATCAACTTTGCAACAGACAGATTCACTCCACATCGTCTCCATTCCCAGCATTCTGTAGCAATACTGTTGGATTTTTTTATATCTGCATTGCTGGGTTATCAGATATGGGCCAGAGACCTGCATTCAGTTTTTTGAGACTGGGAGAAGGGGTTATTATGCAGAATTGGTTTTCTATTGCAGGGCTTTTTCAGATGGAGTTCTGCATTGCCACATGATCCAATGCCCCCATGGCATCGGCCAGAGGCCAAAGTAGGTAGAGTAATGGATGTGACTCTGACCTATGTACGGTAGAATACATTCTAGCTGCACCAAGTTACAACTTTCTGCATTCACATCCCGCCTACACACAACTCAAACTCCAAGCAAGCAAGCAAGCAACAGGCACTATCACAGATTAAGGACACATCCTAGTCATGCAAAAGGGAGGGAGTACAGAGCAAGGCTGGTGAGACATGTGGCCTAGGGGTGCATCCCAAGGGCCAAACTGTTAAGTCTGGAGGGTTACATTTGGTTTCTGCGGCCTGAGGTTTCAAACCCTGATCTATTGTATGTGTGCACCAAGTATCAAAATGAAGCCTATAGAAGCCAAAACAGACCTGAGGTTATTATAACATTGGGAATATATGTTCTCTCTCTCTCTCTCTCTCTCTCTCTCTCTCTCTCTGTGTGTGTGTTTGTGTGTGGGTGTGGGTGTGGGTGTGTAAATATGAACTGACTCATCAGCTACATGGCTTCCATTTATACCCCAAAGTGTAGATCAGTGTGAGGGCTGTGGTAGAGCATGCTCATAGTTAGAAAATTAAAATTAAAATCTTAATATGTGTAAATTATTTATAGGAACATATAACAAATAATTGGGGGTGGGGGAACACTGCATAATAAAGATGAAAGGAGAAATTATCCTTGTGAATTTTAAAGCTGAAGAATAAAGACTATTACATTAATAAGACTTAATTGTGTCATTAAATATTTAAAATTACTTTCTTTAATAAATGTTGTTTTTACTTAACATATTTCTTTTCTGTCTATTACTTTTGCAAACCTCTTGTGCCAAACAGTCATGTTGGGGCGAGGAGCCTGTATAGTTCACCCTTTCCTGCACCTCTTCAACAGCAGCGAAAGGGGTAAATCCCACATATATAATTGCTTATTCCACCTGTTTTAGGGGATCTTCTGGATGATGCCTTGTATCTTGTGGCAAGATTCCACAGTGTTAATGGAGCAGTTACATGGTATCGGGGAGGGGGGGTTGTCTAAAGAAACACATCCCACATGCACTAAGGAAGATAAAACAACTATGTTTGACTGAACAAAATGTCTCCCTTATATAAAATAATTCATTTTTTTATGTCAGCCAAGAAAGGAAATAAATTTATGGTAAATAAATAATGTTTCAAAGAACCATTTTGGGGAAATCAAGTGTCAAAAAGAAGAAACTTCTCATTCAGCACCCTGTTGACTCACAGGCATCAATAAATTATTTGACAGTAACTCAACAACTCTTTGATGAACATTCAGTGAATGCTTACCAGAAAAAAAGTTATGGATCTGTTTGGGGGAAAAACAGTGGAAGATGTGAATGCAAATGAAGAATACAAAGCTCCTTTACAAAACAATGGCTTGACCCCAAAATGCAATATGGTTGTCCTGTACATCTCTGTAACTGCCAGAGCTCTTAGCAGGAATGAAGTTTGTTTATAGGCATACATCAGAGATACTGTGGTGTTCAGTTCCAGACCGTTGCAGTAAAGTGAATGTTGCAATGAAGTGAGTCACACATATTTTGTTTGTTTCCTAGTGCTTATACAAGTTCTGTTTACACTATACAGTAGTGTATTAAACCTCACACACCCTGGCTGCAGGGGTAGGGGGAACTTGGGCCTAGTCCTAGTCAGCTCTACTCCGATGGTCAGAAGAAGGGCGGTGGTGGCATGGGACCAGGCCGCCTGCAGCTGCACCCATGACTTCATAAGGAACAATATCTCTGAAGCACAATAAAATGAAACATGCCTGTATAAGGAAAGTTTTCCATGACATTATGTCACAATTGCCTTGTGAGAAGAAGAGAGCAGGGAGAGGGATGATCATCCCTTCTTCCCCCAACCCACTCCAGGTCAACTTTGCATTTGATGTTACTCATTTTAGCATTTTAAAATTGCAAACCACCTTGGCTGGTCGTTCTTACCTTTCTCCGAATTTTGTAGCACAGTCCTCCAGACAATGTGTACCAAAAATATGCATATAACTAGTGGACAGTGTGTATAATAATGCATGTATTTTGTAGTGAAAATGGTGTTACTATTGGTACCTTCACATCTCCAAACCCTAGGCAACCTGTGTTCACTGTGCCTGGACCTGCAAATGGTCTGAACTGGTATAAGGCAGTTTCCTATTCTCATGTACTGAATAACCGGTGACATGTGTCACAGGAGTTTTGGGATAAAGTTATTAGCACAGCTAATTATCTCCAGAATAGACTGTTTTTATCTGGTATTCAAAAGATTCCATTTGAGTTCAGCATCACATGTGAAAGACTTCTGCCCAAGACACCAGGGAGCTGCTGCCAATGAAAGTGAGCTATACAAGACTAAATGGACAGTCTGACCCAGCTGGCACAATGTGCAGTAATGTACACAGTTCACCTGTGAATGATCCTTTAGTCAAAAATAAAAGCATCCTGTCTCCAGAGCAAAATAAACAGTCTTGTGGCATGCCTTAATGTTGAAGAGATCTCTAGGGGCCTTTGTTTGTTTGTTTGTTTGTTTGTTTGTTTGTTTTTAAAATAAATTCATATATCTTTATTAAAAAGTTAGCTCATGACAGTTCAGACTTCATGGGGATCAGGTCGTCTGTAGCCTCTGGACATATTATAGCCTGTGCGTCTTCAGGTTGCCAACAAATTACTGAAGCAAGGTAATAACTCAACTCACTTCATGGCAGGAGAGATCACAAATGACCAGTGCACCATGTAAGTACAGCCACAAGAGGGTTTGGTTTAAGACAGATGATTAAGGGAGATGATTGCATGATTCCAGGCAATATCTGCTTCAGGTGTCAATTATCACGGTCAAACTTTGTGAAGAGCAGTGATGTGCACAGGCCCATCAGATTTGCTGCATATGTGTAGTATCCTTCCAGTGATGGATTTTCGGCCGCCCACTTCTCCTGGAGAGCGATGATATTAAAGTTTTGACGGTAGAAGGGAATGTCTGTAGAATGGGAGAGGCATCTGGACCAGCCGGCAACATTCCAGGAGATGATGTTTAGGGCAGTAGTTGGTTCTTTTTAGATTCCAGGCACTCATAGCTGTTTTCTGCTGCTGATTCCTCGGGTCCTTTGGGTTTGGCTTGATTGAGCCGCGATGCGGAGGAATGGGTGAGCCTTTTGGGGGAAAGGCTAATTTGGGGGTATTAATTTGTCTGTTCAGGCAGTCACCCGCTAAGACCTTATTTCATTCCTCTGCATGAATAGCTTCTAGGATTCCTCGGCAGTCCATGAAGATTGGGCCAATTCCCGGCGCTGGCACCACTAGTTCGATTTGTTGCAATTTGGACTGGGCTGTTGGTGGGGGTGTAGGAGAGCCCGTTTCTTCTGGAGCCAGATATCGACAAGTTGTCCATTCCTCGTTAGTTAAAGGCTTTGATTTACAATTGATGTAATTAAATTCCATGGGAGGAGGCGGGGCTAGAGGTGGAAGGAAGTTCCTTATGGTCGATAGTCTTTCAATTAGTGTATCCTGGGAAAGTAGAATCTGCTCGAGGTAGGTTGTTAGGAGTTGTTCTTTCTTTGACGAGAAATCCTTTTCTAGCTTATTTGGCGAGGGCGGGGTTTTGTACAACCTGCCAGATTGTTTAAGGTTGCCAGCCTCTGGGTAGAGCAGCTTACCGTTTCCAGCGCTGTTGGATTCTGCAGTGCTGGTTTTGGTTTTTGGTCTGACTGGCCTATGTGCTCCTAGAAGTGGCAAAGGGTCTTCGATGTTTTCGAAGAAACGGTGCACAAGCAAGCCAGCCCTCAGGAAATTGTTTTTATTAGAAAGGATCTGTTTAGTTGAGAGCCTGTTCTTAAAAGTCACTATAGCCCTATTTTGGGCCGTATCACGAGGGAGGAATTTTACCTTGATGATATTTTCTGCTGTCACAAGGCCCCTGGTAACTATTCCGATTTTTTTGGGAATATTTACTTTTCTTTGAGCATACAGTGGTGCCTCGCAAGACGAAATTAATCCGTTCCGCGAGAGTCTTCGTCTAGCGGTTTTTTCGTCTTGCGAAGCAACCCTATTAGCGGCTTAACGGATTAGCGCTATTAGCGGTTTAGCGGCTATTAAAGGCTTAAAGGCTTAGGGGATTAGCTGCTAAAAGGCTATTAAAGGCTATTAAAGGCTTAGCAGATCAGATAAAGGGGGGGGGAAGCGAAAAAAAAATCTCAAGACTCGCAAGACATTTTCGTCTTGCGAAGCAAGCCCATAGGGGAATTCGTCCTGCGAAGCAACTCCAAAACGGAAAACCCTTTCGTCTAGCGGGTTTTCCGTCTTGCGAGGCATTCGTCTTGCGGGGCACCACTGTATGATGGATGACCTCTGTTTGTGGGAAGTATTGTAAAGGCAAGTTTATGTTTGTTTAGCATTAGCTTCCAACAAGTCTGTGTTGTTTTATCTTGATCCTTTTTTGTTATATTAGGGTACACAGGAATTATTTGCGATGTCAAGCAAAGGGTTGGTTGCTTGGGTGGTAAAATTTCCTTTGGTTTTCCTATTTCCCCACTAGAGGGCGGTGTGTGATCTGCTGGGGCGTGGGGCTTTTCCTCAGAGTGCTTTATTGGCATGCATGAGTTTATGATTTTCTTTTGGGTTGTGGAAGCAGAATTCTTTGTTGTTATATTCTCCAGCACCTTAAATAGCTTCTGGAGATTCATTTTTTTAGTCCGGCAGGTCGGCGCTCCTCTTTGGCCTCTCAATTTGATGTTTTTGGTCTTCTTCATTTTTGTGTTGAGCCTTTTCTCTTTAAGGTTGGTTTCTTGGGAGCAAGGGGCCCTCCCTCCTGCACTGAATTGTTTCTGTTTGTTTTTTTGTGATCGAGTCCCGGCTTAGTTTCACCTCCATTGGTCCTAGTCCCAGATATCATGTGAGGGAAAGCGGCCTCATGGTTCTTAATCAATTCAGTTAGGGTGGTAAGCAGGTTCAAGCTTTCCGAAAGGAAATTTTTAATTGGCTCAAGTTCTTTGCTTATCTGTGTGAAATGAGTTTTGAGTAACTCTTCAAACATCCCTGACAGGTAGAAGATAAAGTTGTCCGGGTGCTGTAAACTTAATCTGTTTGGCCATTTGTCTGTCTCAATCGGCTCAGTCGGGGAAGGGCACCTTAAATTCTCTCCTGATAGGGAGGAGAGAAGAGGCTCGTTTAACATGGCTTCTGGGTTTTCCAGGAATAGCTCCTGTTCTAAACTTTCTTCAGGTCCCTCTTTGGCTAGCTCAGCTTATTTTAGTTCTGTTGCCAGGTCCACTCCCTCACCTCCAACGTTAGTTTTTTCCTCCCTTCTAATCCACGTGTGGTCAATAGACCACTCGTGAGGATGGAGATTTCCTGGATTGTTTGCTTCGTCAGCCTTGGGATGGAAGTAGGTTGAAATTTTGGCCTGTTTTTTCTTTGGGGGAGTTGTTGCAGGTTGTAAAGGTGAAATCCCCAGTTCTTTGCAACATTGTCTTGTAAGTACCATCTATCGTACTCGGAGATAAATAGGGCTATTTTATCCAGCCCACAGCTTTATGAGCTTTTCAATGGAGGTGGTTCAAAGTTGATTTAAGTAGCTTTGAAAGGGGAGGGGAGGTTTAAAAGTTCACCCGGCAGCTCCCAGGGTCTTTTACTGATAAAAGTTGGCAGATATTTTCATAGTTTGAGCCTTTTATCAGGGTAATTTGATCATTAGAGCTCCTACTCACGCAGCAGAGACTCAAGTTGAGACTTGACCCGGCGCCATCTTATTTCCATTTTCCGAGATCTCTAGGGGCCTTTGAACTTTCCAGATCATCTGCCTTGTTGTCTAACACCATCCATCAGTATAACAGTTCCAACATGGCACAGATTAAAACAGTGACAGTCTTGACTACTTGTAGCACTCCAGTTCTTACCCTAAGGAGCAATGCTTACATTTGTTCCACACACCTACACACCACTATTAAACAACACACATGGCTTTTCTCTGCATGCTGTAAGGCAAGGAGTGGGGAGCATTTTTTTTTTCCCAGGCTGAAAGCCAGAGAAAATAAGAGAAACCAAAGACCGGAAAAGGTTGATTTATGGAAAGCAGGAAAGTTGGATGCTATTATGGATCAAGGGTTTTGCATAACTCTATACTGTAAAGCTGATAGATGGAGAATTGGAACTATTTTATTTTATTTTATTTTCATTATTTTCTGTTTTTAAAAATGCTTGGTATGTGATGTTAAGTTGTGTATACTGCTTTTTCCTTGTTTCTTTCCAAGCTTTAATAAAAAGCTTTTAATTTCCAGAGAAACTAAGAGGATAAAAAAACTGACAGCTTCACCCACCCCTATAATCAAAATGCTTTTTCCCAAGCCATCCTCATCTCATTTTACCTGATCCACCTTTCCTGCTGTGTCTACTGCTCTATGTATTGCAAGGTCTGTTGATAGATTAGATATAAAGATATGCAATAGTTATCATCTATCTATCATCTATCTATCTATCTGGCCAAGGATTGCAGGCTATTGCTGTTTTTACTCCTCTAAATAAATGCTAAGAATTGCCAATATGTATCCCCCTCCCACTGAAGCAATCAATATCTTTTACACAAGTTAGGGTCTCAATCCTCCAAACATATATTCTGGAAAAGCCCCTCTGGAGAATGAAAACATGCACTGTCACACAAGGTAAAATGTCATAGCAAAATTACAAAATGTTCCTAGTCTAAACTTTTATATACAATAGATGTCATATTTCCATATAAACAAACAATTAATGTGGCAAAATGTGTCATTGATATAAATCCTGGAAGAAGACATGTTACAAATTGCTTTGGGATTTAAGCATGGTAGGAGTGGAGGCAGCGAGAAGTTGTCACTTTTTAATATATATTTGCAACTGGCTTAGTTACTGCACGCTAGAGGGCACTTGAGGTAGAGCAAAAGAAATATCATTGCAACCCAGTTGAAATAGCTACCTGCATGAAACTAAAAGCAGAGAATTAGATTTTTTTATGATAGCTAAATGTTTTGCTTGATGTACTGCTATTTTGTTTGATATTTTATGATCCCTCATAATGTATATTTCCTATCCTTAATGGTCAACCTGACAGCAAGAAATAAAAATTGCCAAAAGTGTCTCAGGAATGCTAAGGAGGTTCATTATGCATTTACTGTTCTTACAATACACTTTACTCATTAGAAAGTTGGAAACCTTTCTAATGAGTAAAATGTGGACCAGCATGTTGTTAGTGGTCCTCACTTGGGGCTTTTGGTCCTTTGTATTCTACCAAGTAACAAGAATACGGGTTAGAAAAGCAAGCTGACTTTAAAACAGAGATGGGGAACCAGAAGCTCATGTATCAGATCTGATGTGTGCCGCCTTTGCACTGGTCCATCAGCCTCTCACCATCTTCTCAGACCCACATGCTGCTTCTTAGAAATCTTCACATGGAGAAAGATTGTGAACTTTTTTGCTATGTGGAGATTATTTGGCTTCTGTGCTATGCAGCAAAAAAGAGACTCTCTCCTCTTGCCTATTTCTGTGTTTGTGTGTGCATGTGTGCTAAGTGGTATGTTTCTGTGTTACGTGAGTTTGTCTTAAGTACTTGTGTGATATTGGGTGTTTCTGACTCCACCTAGGGATGCACACTTTGGCAGATGCCTGTGCTCAACTCCGGGGAAAAGAACTGAGGCTTGAAACAATACAGGGTAAGGCTGTAGCTCAGGAGTAAAATATCTGCTTTGCATGAAGAAGGTCTGAGTTCAAACACTGGCATTTCCAGGTAGGGCTGGGAATTTTGCCTCTCTGAAGCCCAAGTGATCCTTTTTCAGTCAGTGTAGACAATACAGAGGTAGGCTTCCCATGTTCCTAAGCACAGACCACCCATCCCAGCTCCACCTCTCCCTTTCTCTGACACACTGCGCACCAGCCCATCTACCCCCCAGGCAGAGTGAAATATACTCGGAGTCGAGTGTGAATTTCATGCTCTTTATTCAGCTCATAGTAGCAATGAATGAAACTTTTCCCAAAAAGTCTAGCTATATATACATTATTTACATAATGGGCCCTGCGTGATTGGCTAATTCCGGGCTGCTCCTGCAGGCCAATCAGGTTGCTGATTCACTTCATCCAGGAGCTGGATTGGGTGGCTCCTGTGGACCAGTCAGATGCTGCATTCTGGATCCTATTGTTCTAGGATTCAGCTCAGTACATAACACAGAGGAAGGTCATTCAATTAGACAGCGATGGTTGGTCTCTGGTAATGTGGAGGGCCTGTGTGAATGGTTTGGTGCATGGACACCAAAGATGGATGTCAAAAATGCCAGAGTGATCAATTCTAGTGCTTTATTAGAAAATAAGTCAAACTAATAGCACAGCCTGAGAAGCCCTGCTGCCACTGCAGACTTGGGATGGACATCGAAACAGCAAGAGGGCATCATAACTTGTCTGCAACCAAGCACTCATTTACGAATTACTTTTACAAAGAACAGCATATGCCAATTTGACCAGAACCTCCCATTAGCCCACCTGCTTCATGAAAGCATAGGTGGCAGCCATCCAAGGTTTACAGATAGCTCCACTCCCTAGCTAGGCCAATAACCAAGCTTCCCAAGGCCTCAGATACAGCTGCATCACAATCCCGGATTTCCATGAATAAGGGGCAGGGTATGGAAGCAAAAGAGAAGGCTGGTTGTATAACAGCAGTGGCTGTAGCATGGGAGCATGAAGGAAGAGACACTGAAAGGGGGAA